GTGGCCGTACCTGGCCTCTGATTGGGAGATGGCCTGCTCTTCTTGGGCTTCCTGGTTATCCTCTTCTGAGATCGGAGCGGGAGTCATGCTAACAGGCTCTGGCTTTTCCGCAGCAGCCTCCGAGGCAGCAGGGGGCGCTGTGATGGGCGGCGCGGGCGACTCCGCTGATGCCGCTGGTTCTATGGGAGCAGAAGTGGGGGTCGATACAGGAACTGTGGAGACAGCAGGAGGCGCAGCAGGAGTTGAGGGCGGATGTGCAGGGGTTTCGGCAACAGTTGTGCTAACGGTAGCAGCAGCTGCCGACATGGGAGCAGGAGCTTGTGGAGGTGCTGCAGGTTTGGGCTGTAGAAAAAGAAACACAACTGCACAAAGAACTATAGAAACCTGCTAATGAACTCTAACACTGTTTCTATCCAAAGTTGCGAATAACTTGAAATGAAATTTCACATAAAACATATGCGAATAAAGAAACGTGTTCACGAGAACAAAAACATCGCTTTCTGGGAAACGGGCAAGTTGCAGCAAACGGTGAAAGCACTTCGGCTCTTTTTCCTACAAAATAAACTTGTCCGCAGATGCAATAACCATCGCAGTCATGTTATCTTGCATTTGTATGTCTGATGTTTGTGAACGCAATCTTGAGACAATGTTCTGGGAAGTAATTATACCAAATCATTTTTTTTGTTGTGCATCGTGGAATTTATTCAGTAAGGGTGCATTTACACAAAAACGTTTGTAATATAAATAGAAAAAAAAATTTTTTGCGTTTTTGACAAGTTTTGTGTATAGACGACAACATTTTTAAAATAATCCTTGTTAACATGGATCCACGAAAATTACTTAATACATAGTATTATGCATACCAGGCCATAAATTCGTAGTAATTCGTACGAAGGACCACCCCTAACCCCGCCCCCTAAACCTACCCATCACAAAAGTCGCACCTTTTCACAAATTAGTTTTTTCGTCGTTTACCAACCCAATCTCACGGCAATTCCTACGTATTTTACGAGGTGGCAAATTTGTACGAAGGACTACCCCTAACCCTAGCCCTAAACCTACTTACACAGAAATCGTATGAATTAGCCACCTCATAAAATACGTACAAATTGCTTGTGAGATAGTGTTGAGTTTACACAGAGATGATAATTGTATAATTTTCAAAAACAAAATTTTGCATATTCAGGCCCCCAAAAGGCCGTTATCAAGTTAATAAACGGTCGAAAGACATAAAAAGTTTTCAGATTCATTTTTATTTGAAAACTGTCGTGAATACACCCCCTAAATGTGATTCCAACATAGTTTATGGAAATATTTTCTTATTGGATAAAAAAAAATGATCCGCCTCAAAAGTGTTTTACATTTTTTTATGTGCATCGGTTAATTTATGTGCATTTTAAGATTTGATGCACATCTTGGCATTTCCATCCAGTGCTTTTTTTATGCAACATCCTAAAATCTGAAAGAGCGTGTGGAAGGAAAATAATTTTTTAAAGGCTATAATGGGATTGAAACTTGCATATATACATGTGAAGAAGGCAATGAGAAAATTGTGAGAGATAAAACAGCCTTACCTTTGTAACCATCACCACGACAAAGTTCTTCTCATCTATCTTGTATTCTTTTAGAGGTATATCGTCATTCAAAATTTTGCCTGCATTTTATGGAGAAAAACACAAACGCAATTTCATAAATCTAATTAGTGTCTTATTAAAATTGAAGAAGGATATGGTGCATGCAAAAAGTAAAATTTGGCAGTAATTATAACATATAAGCTTTGCGATGGCAGAAATAACAAATGTCCAAAGAAACAGACCTGCATAGATTAGTTTTTGACCTACAGCTGGAAAAGCATCTTGCCCCTTTTCTTCCTCTATCTTCTCTTTAAAAGCCTTTACCTGTATTTACAATATACAAGGACAGAATTTTATCAGAAACTTCTTCACAATTGAAGATTGTGCTTTCAAGTACAAAATAAGACTCAAGAACTGTATGATTACGAAAGCAGGCAACTAATGGTCATGTGCTTCCCAAACCATCTTCAAGAACCAAAGAAATGGATTAATATGGGCATATACTTAATTATGAAGTCAGAATGAAACTGCATTATCTGGACACATAAAAAAGTAAAATAATTTCACTCTAAATTATTTCAAATACTTACAAAATAACACATTTAGAAAAACTAGCCATTTAAATTAACAAGATACATTCATCTGACTGCATAAAAATAAGTTTTAAACAATAACAGATCATAACATAAATACAATCAATATCAGTAATGCATTGTCATTCTAGGAAAACAAGAAGCATGGCAAGCTATTTTAATATTCATTCATAAAAACAAACTAGCATACACTACTGTGTATTCCAGTTATTAGTAGCATTTTTAATCGTTCTAGTAAGATTTATCGAACTATAAAGTACCCATTCATTACTTATAAAAAAAAAAGGCCTTTGAGAAAATGAATTGTACTAGTCACAGTTGGCATACATACAAATTTTTAATTTATAAATACTAGTATCTATTGAATACAGATTAGTAAAGCTGGAATACATACTAGTAACTACTGGTATAAATAAAAGTAACATACATATTTGGCTCTAATAAATAGTAAAACTAGAAGAGGTACAAGCAATAACAAGTTGTTAGTGTATATTTAACAAACCCCCAAAGAGTTTAGTGGCAAAATTTAGCATTTTTTAACTAGTAACAACGCAATAATTAGTAGAATAGTGACAAGTCCTAGTGTCTAATGAATAAGCATTAGTTACTAACTATTGGGATAACTAGCGTTCTAGAATAAGTAATGAATCAGTGAAGTAGACAGTATGTACTTATCACTATTGGACTACTTGCTGGCAATTAAGATAAGTAATAAGTAACATTAACTAGACTAGTTAGTTGAATCGAATAGGTGTTAAAAGGGCTTGCCACAAGACGAGAGTGTAAACAGACCGTTAAAGTGAACAACGCGGCCGTTATTTTCAAATTAACAGCCGTTAGAATGTGCGGCTTTGTGACGTCACCTGTTATAATGTAATATTGTACAATGACAGCGACTGCTCCACGCGCGGCAGCCGCCGGAGGCCGCGGCGTTTCCCAGCGCGTCACGCCCGCTCGCTGGCGTGTTTACACGGGCACAGACGCGCACACTCACCGTCAGCTCCTCGTCGATCTGCACTTTGAACGTCTGCTGCTGGAGGGTCTTCAGAGTGATCGTCAGCATTGTGTTAAAGCGCGAAATACAGCCTCGGAAGTGTCTTCAATGAACGCGTGTGGAGATGTGACTCAGCTATCTTCAGGAGGGATGAGGCGCCTATGTTATGGGAAGACGCCATCTACTTGCTGAATTGGACAAGACACATGGACGTACAGTGACCCGTAAGATTCTTATAAATGTTTAACTGGCATTATTTGAGATAAAATACCAATGCAACACATGTTTCTAGAGATTTCCTCAGAACTAGCTTCACTGGGTCCGTCAGTGACAAACAAACATGTCGGAGACCACGAAAAACACTAATCTGTTTTAAAACATCTTAACAGTTCTTAGTTCACAGAAACTTAGGTTTTTTTAATATACATGTTGGTTTTGAAAAGCATTTACATCATTTTCAACAAGTCTTAATGTAATTAACTCAAGTAATGAGGACCAGTGTACAAGTAATGCAAGTTACGTAATCAGATTACTTTTTTTCAAGTAACTAGTAAAGTAACGCATTACTTTTTAATTTACAAGAGAATATCGGAGTTACTTTTTTCCCCCAATTTATTGACTGACAGCTCTCCTGTCCCCATGTTGAGAGAAATCAGATGTTACTGTAGTTCTAAAATAAATATGAATATGCATTAATTCATCTCACTCACAAAAAAAACAGATTCAGTATTCCTCAAAATGAATAAAAATAATGCAACTCAGAATATGACGCAAACCCGCAATAATTAAATGTAAAACAACACAAATATCCTTTATGCATTTAATCCCATTCTATTTGCTTCTGACCTTCGATGATCCAGTTCAACCGTACTAATAAGCAAAAATTACTCTAGACGAACATTTGTGTGTTTTTTATTGCTGAAGTGTGTTGAAATGTCTTCTTCTGCATTCTACTGTACGGACGTAAATTTACTTTCCCTTCAGCCTGAGGCTTATTCATTTCACTTCTGGTGTGAAAAGGCTTTTATATTTGCCAAAAATATTACTTTTTTATTTTAAAAACAAACAAGCAAGCCCTGTCCAGATTTAAAAAGTAACGCAAAAGTAACGTAACGCATTACTTTCCATAAAAAGTAACTAAGTAACGTAATTAGTTACTTTTTTATGGAGTAACGCAATATTGTAATGCATTACTTTTAAAAGTAACTTTCCCCAACACAAAAGTAAGAGAACTGAAACAAAAGTAAGAGAAAAAAAACTATATAGACATTTAAAATGACAGAAACTAGAAAAAAAAAAGACAAAAACACAATTACTTTAAAAAACTTTAACTAAAATTAAAATGAAACCAGAAAATATAATGATAAAAAATAAAAATATTAACAAAACAAAAACATTCAATCTCGTGTTTTGTTTTTTTTTTGTTTTTTTGGGAGAAATAATATTTGATTATTTTTAAGTACTTGCATTTAATACGTTCAACCAGAATTAGGACAGTTTAACATACACAAAATATGAGCCAGACCAGCATTTAAAAATAAATCATTTATTTTAAAAAAAGTGCAAATCCAACAAATGATACATTAGAATTTTTCCCTTGCGCGGCTCGAGACAGAACAGAGATCCAAACATTAATTAATTAAGTTTATCAGGTCGTACTATAAATGTGTTGGGGGGCTTCTAGCAGCAAAACCAAAAGAAATCCGAGTTACCGGATGTGACATGTTTCTAGAAAGGGGGCGGGGCCAAAAAATCACACCACGTATATAAAGAAAGACATCAGAAATGCATCAGATCTGCTCATTCAGAAGGAAACTCCTCTTCACAACTCGTCTTTTGGAAGCGCATCATCTTCACCCTCCTCTTCCTCCTCAGGAGGTTCTTCTGTGTGCTCCTCCTCCTCTGGCTCGTCCTCATCGCCATCCTCCTCATCTTCCTCATTATCATCATCCTTCTTGCTCTTTTCCCCCTCTTCACGCTTCTTCCGTTCTTCCTCTTCCTGCTGGTCCTTCATTTTCTTTTCTGGTCCCTGATACGTAAAAATAACATCATACCATCAGTATTTATGGTTAATTAATTTTGCGTAAACAAATGTCAGAACTGATCACTGAAATCAAATAACCAAGTTATTAATTCTAATATTTTGTCAATAGACATAATTACCTTCGTTGCGCCCCACGTTTCTGTACCAAATTTTTCAGCCTCCTCAACATCATCAGTGATCAGGAAGTTATCAAAGATCGTTCCAGTTTTCACCTGTAAGAAAGGTCAAAAGATCACTAAACACAATGGATAATCAAGAAAAATTTGCAGTCCTGCATAAATTGCCATTTAATCACAAAATTATTGCCCCAAAAAAAAACACCTGCAGTACTACATAAAGTGAGTGAGTGAAGTGACATGTGGCCAAGTATGGTGACCCGTACTTGGAATTAATGCTCTGCATTTAACCCATCCAAAGTGCACACACACAGCAGTGAACACACACACACACACCCGGAGCAGTGGGCAGCCATTTTTTGCTGCGGCGCCCGGGGAGCAGTTGAGGGTTCGGTGCCTTGCTCAAGGGCACCTCAGTCGTGGTATTGAAGGTGGGAGAGAGCACTGTACATTCACTCCCCCCACCTACAATCCCTGCCGGTACGAGACTCGAACCCGCAACCTTTGGGTTACGAGTCCGACTCTCTAACCATTAGGCCACGACTTCCCCGTAAAAGTTAAATTGATAAAAAGTTATTGATACGTTGGTGTGACAATGCATGAATGAGAAAAAGTCGCAAAAAAAAGTAACTTGATGCGGTACTTGTGCAACTCTTAATTTCCTTTGCTGTTCTTAATTTTTTTCTTGAACAAAAAAAAAAAAGTGCGATCCTGCATAATGCGCCATTTAACCACAAAATGACATTCCTAATTTAAAATTAAGTTGCGAAAAAGAAATCAATGCTGTACCTGTGTGCTCTATTACAATTTACTTTGTTCTTATTGTTTATATCAAAAATAAAATAAAAATAACTATGTTGTGTGTCAGAATTTTGTCTTTCTGCATTTTGTTTCTTTTTTTCTGCAATGTACAACTATTGTATATCTAATGTTACAGCTAAAAATGTAAATATGGTATACCACGAAATTCTGGAAAAATTGTGTAATCCTGGTGGACTGGTTAATGTCACCAGAGATAACCAAACCAAATTTGTTTAAAACCTACAAATGAACTTTAATTACGATGTTGGTTTAACGGTACGCCAATCTAAACCATACCTGCCAAAGATCCAGTCCCAGAACGCCAACGTTATCAAATTTGTAAATGGAGTCGTCTGGAGTGTATTCAGGGTTGTCAATTTCAGGGTGAATCCAGGTGCCTTTGTAGTTGGGGTTGTCGATCTGTTTTGGTTTCCACTCGCCCTACATAAACACAGCTTTGTTAGCCGTTTGGTAAAACTGGTTCCTGCATAATGAACAAACACTGAAAATACAGTAGAAATGGTCCATGTGAAACAACCTTGAGTATTAATTTCTATCAAAAACTCCTAAAAAGTCCAAACCTATTCGAGACTGAAACAATCTAAAGTGGTTTTAGCTGGTCTCCCAAGGTCTATAACTAGACCAATCCGATTTGGATCTTCTTTGCGAGGATATCTCTGATAACAAGCTAACAGTAATCACTCTCAAAAACTCCTGGAAAGTCCAGACCTACTTAGTACTGAACCCTAAACCTTCTTCAGCCAACTTACCGTGCAAAAAAGACCAGTCTAAAGTGGTTTTAACTGGTCTCCCAGGTGCCCAAAACGGACATAAAACCTCCAAACTAGACAAATCCAACAAATTTGAAGCATGTTACGGCTTTATGTTTGGTAGATCTTAAAATATTAGGATCTTCCACTTGAGAACATCTCTGATAATGAGATGATAACATTACTCGCTCTTAAAAACTACTAGAAAGTCCAAAACTACTTGGTATTAAACCCAAAACCTTCTTCTGGAAGCGTATCGTACAGAAAAGACTACTCTAAAGTGGTCTAACGTCCAAAACCGTCAAACTAGACCAATCTGATCACTTTGAAGCACTTTATGGCTTTATGTCTGGCAGAGCTTACAATATTGGGATCTTCTACATAAGAACATCTCTGACAACGAGATAACATTAATCACTCAAAAACTCCAGGAAAGTCCAAACCTACTTGGTATTAAACCCAAAACCTTCTTCTGGAAGCCTACCCTGCAGAAAAAACTACTCTAAAGTGGTCTACAGTCTAAAACCATCAAATTAGACCAATTCGACCACTTCAAAAGCACCTTATAGCTAGAGATGTACCGATTGCAATTTTCTTGGCCGATTCCGATTTTTTTGTTAGTGTGATCTGCCGATACCGATTTTTGCCGATTCCGATTTTCTTTCTAAGAACTATAATTGACAGCATATACAAACAAAAATCTACTTTTCTTCAACGCAAAGTTTTATTTTCATAAAAAAAAACAAGTAAAAAGTCAGTAATAAAATAAGAACACAAGAAAATTGCAAACAACAGCACAAATAAATGCAATAGAATAAAGAGAGCTATGAAACTTAAGTTTTTCAGGTTAAGTAAGTTTTTATTCAGGTAAGAAATACTACAGAAATTAAAGTAATCAAATGTAAAATAACACATCCAGTGTTATTTTACATTAGATTACTTTAATTTCTGTAGTCTTCATTGTAAAAATTAATGCTTACCATTAAAGTTATAAAACATATTCAGTCAAGAGCAGAAAGTTATTTTCTTTGTCTTTTGTTCTTTGATTAACATGACAGACAGCAGCAGAAATATTGGACTGCGGTCCCTTTAAGAGTTTATCCACGGACCCAATATAGGGCCTGTTTACACCTGGTCATTTCATGCGTTTTCGCTGATCGGATATCTATCCGATTTGTTCAAACGTTTCCATTTACATTCGCAGCAGTTTGCGCGACGGCTTGCTGAAGAGATACTCAGCTACTCATCCGCAGCGATGCGTGTTGCATTAGCGCAGTCTGACTAATGCCATACAGCCTATAACACGTTTATTATTTTATCATTTTGAGAGGAGTAAAATTTACATATGTGGTTTCAACAACCAGATGCATTTACACTTGTCCAGTTTCGTCTGGAATGCGGCCCAGACCACCTCCTGAAGTGGTTTGAGCGATCGGAGTTATATCCATCTCGAATGCGTTTCGGAGGGCATTTACACCTGGCCTTTTCACGATCGGATAGCTATCCGATCAGACAAAATGCATGAAGTGACCAGGTGTAAACAGCCCCTTAGACTAGAAGAGACTATCTGACTGTCACGCTCTGGAGGCCTCTAGGGACAGGCTTACATGGGACGGACGGCCTCCAGGGCGGTACCCATTCCGGGACCCATGGCGGATCAGGCAGTTCAGGGTCTTTTGTTCTTTGATTATCATGACAGACAGCAGCATAAATATTGGACTGCGGTCCCTTTAAGAGTTTATCCACGGACCCAATATACTGTTACACAACATGCGTTCTCCTTCTCAACTATTTAGCGTTCCAAAACTGACTGTTTAACTGGATACTCGCCAAGATGGGCATTTTGACATAATTTTGTATGTATTTGACCATTTTAGTGCAGTTAGCCACTCATTTTGGTATTTGTGGCTCACAAGCTGTTTGAGACTGAGAGCGGATTGTGCGCTCCACTAATATAGATCAGTGTAAGCGCGAAACCTGCGGGAATGACTAAAATAATTCGCAATACAAGCACTATTTAACCGGAGCGAATGAGACTTGTGTGAGAGAGAAGGGGTCGTCGGAGAGAAGAGAGCAAGAATGCGCAACTGA